GTTACAGCTCCTGAAACCCGGCAGGGCGGTTCCCAACATATAATAATATTCTCCTCTTCCCCGTGTCTTCCCTCCTCCCCTCAGGGTCCACAGTCTTGGTCTTCCTTTTCCCTCAACTTGATCAATAATCACTTGCCATAGCTACTCTGAGAGAGACTAAAAGATTAGCTTGGACTACAACAATAAATTTAAAATCCTTTCCTTTTTTTTGCTACAACTACAGTAAAAAATAGTATCTTATATCTTAACCTACCATACACACATGCACTGACACACATATTATAGAAACACAACTTCCACAAAAGTATAGGTAATCTAGTTCATTTAAAAAATGACTGGCTACAACACACTAAATTGATTTCCTAACTCTAATGCAGCCTGAAGAACATCTGGTCTATTCTGACTACAAAACTCTAACCTGGCTTAAAATGGAAAAAATTAGTTGCTCAGATACAACTGTAAGCTAACATCTGAAAACTGGCAACTCTGTCAATGTCTACACACCAGAACACCAAGAACACACACACCAGAACACCAAGTGAATGTAATGAAAAACAGGTATACTAGTCTGCCAGGGCTGCCGTGACAAAAAAACACTGACTAGTGGTCTTACAAACAAGTATTCTTTTTTCTCACAGTTCTAGATGCTAGAATTCTAAGATAAAGGTTCCAGCACACAGCCATCTTCTTGCTACGGCTCCACATGGCCTTAGTGTGTGCACAGGGCAGCTGTGGGGAGAGGGCACACTCTGGTGTCTCTTTGTATAAGGACAACAGTCCTACAAGATCAGCGTTCCACCCTGATGAACTCCTTTAGCCTTAATTACTTTCTTGGAGGCCCTATCTCAAATACAGCCAAAGCGAAGGGTTAGTACTTCAACATATGAATTTGAAGAGATATAAACATTCCATCTATAACAGTAGGCTACACTTATATTAGCTGTCACAACCCTAAGACAAAAGCAAAACTAAATACACTCCCTCTCAAGACAATCTGAGAATAATCGTATTAAGTAGCTCAGAAAAAGACTCTTTCATGCAAAAGGAAAAAGCTAAAAGGGAAAATTTTAGTTTTATTGTCACAAAAATAATGCTACAAAACATCAATGCAGAAGAACCCTGAATCACAAAACATGAGGTTAAGTATGATTCAAGTCACCTTGCTTCAACAATTCCTCAAACCTAACAATAAGGGAAGAGGCAAACCTATGCAATATTACAACAAACTCCAAAGGTCATAGAGGATCTCAAAAACACACCACAGGCAGTCAGGCATGGCCTGGGCTAAATGAAGGCAGCATACGCTAAGGACCAGTGGCCCTGTTGGCTGGATGAGGCCGTTGTATGGACTCCCACAGTCCAGAACAGCAAAGCTTCTTCACCAAGGATCTTGTTCTCATTATTTTTTTATCTTTCACAGAGGGAAAATTTTATTAAACAGAATTATGACAAATAGGTTCTTTATTATTTTAAATGTTTAAAAAATTTATTAAAGAAACTCCAAGTCAAGAGGGTGCAGTAGCTAAAAAATGCTTGCTTCCTCCCACAACTACTTCAAACTTATAACTAAATTATAGAACAAGCATCACTGAGAACTACTAGAAGACTAGATGAACAGAAGTCACATATCTTAAGATATAAATATGAAGAAGCCACATCAAGACTGGTAGGAGGGGCAGAGATGTGGAACAGGCAGGTCTCACACCCACATGTGGTGGTTAAGAAACAGGAGGGATGTCAAAGATGCAATGGCCCCCCTGGGGAGCAAGGAGTCCTAACGCCAGAGTTCCCAAGCCCAGGGTTCCGGTGATGGGAAGAGAATTCCTGATAACCTCTGGCTGTGAAAAGCTGTGGATGTTGCGACTGAGTGAGACAGAGGGCTGCTGGAGACCTAGACACAGCAAGTCTTAAAGAGCCTGCGCATGGACTTAACTCACTGATGGGCCCACTTGAGCTCCAGTGCTGGGGCAGCAGCTTGAAAAGTGCCAGGGGCACACAGGGAGGAACTGAATTGACTAGCTTCTGAGCAGCTCACGCCTGGAACATAAGTGCTAGCAGACACCATTACCCCTTTGTTGAACCCCTGCCCCAGAAAGCTGGCATGCACAGCTGGGCACCCAGTCTGAGTCTCCAACAACCTTGCTAACATTGTTGGCCCACTCTGGTATTCCCAGAGACCCTGCCCTACCCAACACGAATACCTGGCCCGAAAATCTACCAATGGTTTTCCATGCACATGACCTGTCTTGGCTCATGCTAGAAACATTCTGAAAATATCTCAAAGGTCCACAAACTCCAAACAAGCAGCAACTGGCTTCAGTGTGCCCTGTACCTCTTGCTAAGCAGCCCCAAGCCCAGCACTAGTAGCTACCTGCCTTGCTTCATAGCTTAGCCTCTGCCAGGTGCCCCCAAGACCAGCACACGTGGCAATCATCTGCAAATCACTTTGTACTCCTACCACTGGCTCTGGGCCAGGGTACAGGCAGCAGCTGACCTTGACCTGCACCAGAGCCCCTACCAAGATGTCCCAGAACTAACACACCTGGTGGCCGACTTCAGGCCACACTGGAGCACCACCCAACCAGCTCCACAAACAACATACACAAAGGGCAGACTTGGCGGGCACCAGAGCCCCACTGAAGTGAGTACCATTCTGTGGGGTCAGCCCCCACACAACAGTTCCTCCACTGTAGTCACTGCTGTTCCTCACCGCAAATCAGCCTGAGGGTCAACACACCCCCTAATGATGTGCCAAAAGCAATCCTGGCTCCACTGCAACAGGAGGGCTCACACAACCCACACAAGGGACACCTCCGGAGCACCCAGCTAAGGTGACCAAAGAGACTGTGCCGCTGGGCCCCACAGGACACCTACTATACAAGACCTCTCAGCCTAGACTGGAAGACATAGCAGATCTACCTAATACACAGAAACAAACACAGGGAGGCAACCAAAATGAGGAAACAAAGAAATATGTCCCAAATCAAAGAACAGCATACAACACTAGAAACTGAACTAAACAAAATGGAGACAAGCAATCTACCAAATGCAGAGTTCAAAACACTGGTTATAAAAATGCTCCATGAACTTAGAAGAATTAATGAACTCAATGAGAACTTCAACAAAGAGATAGGAAACAAAAATGGAGATAGAATATATTTAAAAAAAAAACAGTCAGAACTGAAGAATGCAATAACTGAAATGAATAATTCATCAGAGGGCATCAGTGTGGATTAGATGAAGCCGAGGACTGAACCAGAGACCTGGCAGACAAGGAAGCAGAGCACACCCAATCAAAACAGCAAAAACAAAAAAGAATTTAAAAAATGAGTGCAGTGTAAGGGACCGCTGGCAACAACATTCACATCACAGGGGTATGAGGAAAAAAGAGAGCAAGGGATTGAAAACCTAATTGTAGAAATACTGATGGAAAACTTCCCTAATCAGGAGAAGGAAACATAGACACACAAGTCCAGGAAGCACAGAGCGTCCCAAACAAGAGGAACCCAAAGAGGCCCACACCAAGATATCATAATTAAAATGCCAAAGGTTAAAGGACAAGAGAGACTCTTAAAAGTAAAGCAGTTAATTACGTACAAGGGTGCTCCCACACACTGTCAAGCTGATTCCTCAACAGAAATCCTTCAGGCCAGAAGAGAATGGCATGAAAAATTCCAAATCATGAAAAACAAGGGCCTACAATCAAGGTTACTCCACCCAGCAAGGCTCTCACTTAGAACAAGACAGATTAAAAGCTTCCCAGACAAGAGGACACTAAAGGAGTTCGACACCACACCAGAATGACAGTAGCCCACCCTTGACCTTTACTAAGTTTTTGGTATTAATCTACCTTAAGGTGATATAATTCATACACTATAAAATTCAGCCTTTTAAAATGTGATATTTTTCCAATGGTATAGTCACATATATGCACAACCAACACCACCATATAATTCAAGAACGTTTCATCACCCCAAAAAGAAATCCCATAGCTATTAGCAGTCACTTCTCAGTCTGTTCTTCCCCCAGACTCTGGCAACCACCAATATATCTCCTATCTCTACGGATTTACCTGTTCTGGACATTTTATATAAATGGATTATACAATAGGTGGCCTTTTGTGCCTGGTTTTCACCTGGTACCATGTTTTCAAAGTTCATCTGTGTCCACTTTTTTAAAAAAGCATTTTTAATGAAGAAACTGAATAAAAAACTAGGCAGAGGAGCATGAACCTCTATAGATCCATCATCTAGCCTCTACAATGCTCAACCCATCCACACACCATGTACTGCACCTTTTTTTAATTTTAAATTGAATTCCAGCTGCTACATTGTTTCTGTATAAATATTTCCATAAGGACGTATCATCATAGCTACTCTAACACTAGCCCCCGATTTGCGTTTACCTTCTGATTTTAACGGCCTACCTCTACGAAGAACTGAATTCGCCTTTGCTAGGCATGACTGACTTAAGAGATACACCAGATTCGCATAACTATTCTGCCTAATAAAACTACTGAAGGAGAAAAATGGAAATAGAATCAGGAACCAAAATCTCAGAAAACTTTCTCCAGAGGCCAAGGTTCCAAGTGATTTAAAATTTGATAAATACTTCAATATTTCATTTCCCCTGACAGTCAGAAACACTCATATGGAGGTTGTTTACTTTTTAGTTTTCCTTTGTCATTCCGGGAAAGGACTAGAGGTTATTACAAGGGTGTTTTGCTTTTGTTTTCAGCATGCACCAATTACAATCCAGAAAGCACTTGAAGTGCCTACATGAGGACTAAATACAATGTAATTTCACACAAAAAAGAAAGTTTATGAACCCAACAGACAGAATGTACAGTTTTTTAAATGTTTGTTTTAGCAAAGGTAGCCAAAAAGCATTCACTATTCACTATTATAAGGTGAAGGGAAAATAAAGAGGGAAGAGAAGAAGAAAGCAGTAAGGGTAAGGACAGAAGAATGGGAGAAGAATGTGTATTTGAATTATCTTACCTTTTTGTGAGCAATCAGGAGGCAATTGGAATGTTCATGCTCACAAGCAATTTCATAGTCAGGGATCAGAGCCACCAATTCACGGACAAAGCGTACCACTTCCTCATGCCAGGGCACATTGGCCATGGTGAGACTGCTTGCCGAACTCTCTCCGCAGTAGGTAACACCCTGTGGAAACATCACAATAGTTAGAGACAATTACTTAAATGTCATAGAGAAAGTTTCTGAGCCAAAAAGCCTTTTGGAGGTCATCCAATCCAATCCCATCTGTATTTTAAAGTGAAGAAAGTACCACAGAGATGATAACATTTTCTTGGGAGCTAATGCAAGTCGATAGTGACAAAGACAGCACTGGGGCTCCCCGGCCGATGTTCTTTTCACTCTGTGACAACGCCGCTGCGTGGGCACCTGTGCTTGTGTCCTGTCACAGTCTCTGCTGCCTAGTCACAGGATGTGTTTGAACCAGTGACATATCTTTCCGTTTAGATTCATTTCGACACTGTAATGGATTAGCTCTCAGGGAAGTACAGTCCCCTACTATAATAATTCAGGCATAGTTGACACCCATAAAAATTCACTGAACAATCTATTCACTAGGAAAATAAATTCAGTTACCATTCTCTAGTATAGCTTAGATTTGAGGTTGGTGAAATTTCTATAAAACGCTGGATACAGATCCCATTATTATTCTTTATTCTGTAAGGATATCACTTTGTAATGTATTTTGTATATGGATCTATGCACACATAAACAGAGAATCATGCCAAACAGGAAATACTTGTGTGGATACCCATACAGACACTTAAGCACACCTACATATGCATACATGCGTCTCAACTTCACAGAAATCCTTATGCTGTGAGTTAACTTTGGTTCTGTTTTGAACTGTACTTGACAGCCCAGGCACATAAAACCCAAGTTTTATAACTAAGTTCTCTACTTGGTCGATTATATAATGATAAATAATTAATGTTCTAATAATAATGGATATCTTCACTTTGTAGGCTCTTCAGATACCCTAGAATCAAGTTATTCTAACTTTCCCAACAAATGGTTAGAATACTCTAGATATGCTACTAGTAAGGAATACTGAAATGAAAAATATACACCACTCACATACACTGTCTGTCTGTCTGTCTCATTCATTCTCTCTTTCACACACAGACCCACACAGACACACAACATACTAGAGGGGGAAGAATGACATTAAGTGAAAAACCCACAAATGAACACTGCAGAGTGACCTTGACCCTACAGATGGCAGAGCTGGGAGATGGCCAAAAACTCAGATGAGCTCTGCAAAATACTCTATTCCAGATGGCTGTTCAAAAAAGGGCTGGGATACCAAACTGAGATGACCTTTGCTGAACAACAACCTTAAGTGACCCAGCTTAGTTATGATAAACAAGAGAATCTTCTCTGTTAGTCCAATAATTTATTGAATTTGTTACACAGAGAGTCTGAGTTTTTGATTAATTAAAAAAGCAAATAATAGTTTAAAAAATCTTTTAAGAAAGCATGGCTGAAAAACTGCTAAACATATCCATATGTATTAAAAAAAAGTGACTTATTGACAGATCAAGTCGGTCATAAAAATAAACTTGACTTTGATTTGAATACTGTTCATGATGTATAAATTATATGAAGAACCATGTACGAAGCAGTTAATTCTAAGGAATTGATTTTTAATATTTAAAAGGTTAGTTCATTGAGGCAGAGGTTTTAGATAACATCTTATATTCATGACAATGGGTTTGGAAAGTATTTTAATATTTCTTATTCAGCAACAATAAATCATGAAACATTAAGGAGAGATTGGGCTTGGAAATGAAATTAAAGAATGAATGCCACAGTTCACTGTACTTTTCCATACAGTCACATGATGCTTTTTAAAAAATTTGTATTTTAATTATTTTCAACATTTTTTCTTTTGATTCTAGACAGAGGGGAAAGGAGGGAAAAAAAAGAGAGAGAGAGAGACTGATGTAGAAACATCAATCGGTTACCTCCTGCACACACCCCAAGGAGGTACCAGACCCACAACTCCAGCATGTGCCCTGACCAGGAATCAAACTGGCGACCCTTCAGTTTGCAGGATAGCGCCCCACCAACTGAGCCACAGTGGCCAGGGCTCGCACGATGCTTTATAACACTTTCCAAAGCACTTTCACGTAAAAGTTCTAACTTTCGCCAAACAAAGTCTTTTGAGGCAGGTAGTACAAGGTAACTGGCTGAGCCACCCACAGAGCCTGAGCCTTCACCATGACAGAAATGCCACGGGCAGAAACCGGCTTCAGTGAATTCGTTTGTGGAGTCACTTCCGGGAACCTCTGAGCCCTAATTACAGTTTGGTTCCTAATGCCCTCGCTCTGTGGTGCTCTCTCCTTTGCTTTGGCTGCCTTACTTCTTCCAATACTCTAGTCTCCCAATGACTTGTCCTGACTTTATTCCTGGTCACACTTAACCCTGAATTGTCTAAAAACACTTCATTTTCTCTCATGGCATGGCTATCTACCACCCGCTCATCCCACCAGCACCCCACACGCCCTCTCCATTTATCACCAGCATCAAGTTCTTCCCTCACAACTCTGAAAAAAGAACCACCTCAAGAAAACAGATGGGCATAATGTGGCAACTGAATAGCAGTCACAGACTCCAGAATCTGTAGGCTGAGGAGTAACAAGTAGACCCAAAGAAAGCTCCTACAGAACAGGACCACTTACTCAACTTGGGCTTTGGAGTGAATAGCATAACCCACACTGTTACACTGTGCCTTTCTGCTGGATCTCTCTGCTGTAGGAGATGGGGCCGTACGGTCGGTTTTTACTGGCTGCTGGAAAGTTTACCTGGGGAGTCAAGGTCTGTGGGTCTTTTGGCAGCTTGCTATTCTAATTAAACTGACCGGGTGTCTAAAGATTCCTGATACTGTTTTTGTTCCCTATTGTCAACATAAGAAACACTCAAATGTAGAGAATTTCTGTGAGTTTGTTTCAGCCAAACTGACAGTTGGCAATTGCCAGGAAGCAAAACCTCAACAAGTTGAGAAAATGCTCTGGAGAATAGCAGTTTAGCACCTTATTTTATACATTACAATCAAAAGCGGAGGCATAAGAGGGTTACATAAAATCCACTGGCAATAGATTAGGGAGGCGTGAGGAAGCAAAGCAGGGAAACCTCTGGGATTGGATAAAAAGTAAAACAGACACTAACTTTTACATAGGTGGGTACAGGATAGTTCACAGTCAACAATTAACATGATAACAATAACAATGAGGGATCCGTGGAAACCTCTGGTGCAGGGCCTGTGCTTTGAAAGGTCTGGAGGAAAAAGGAAAGTGGATATTCTATTCTAAAGGTGTGTTATCATAGATGGAAAAAGACAACAGACAGGCTCAGTTAAGGTAAAGACTGACCTTTGTTAGGGAAAAATACCAGCCTAGGACATAACCAACTACCATGATCTGCTTTTAGTTAGAAAGTTTTCATTTCAAACCATCCCATGGTTACTTCAGGTCCCTGAGTTTGTAAAGCCACCACACAGGCCTCCCCCTGAGTTTCTCAGGTTTAGTATGTGGCCCCTTTTCTTCCACACTACAGTCTGAGGAGAAAAGAAATGTCTTTATGATATTTTGCAGCAATACACATCACACATGTCATTCGTATATCCTGAATATGCTTCAATAGCTCCCCCGACAGACTACAGCCCGAGCTTCTCAACGCGGCTTCAAGGTCTTATTGGACCGTCCCTCTCCGCACCCAGTCTTCACCTGGCCAAATTCCCCATCATCTCTTCAATCTCCAGTCAGGAACCCCAACCACATGTGACCTTGACATCATCACACCTTGGCATATCCTTTACCAGAATACTGGAATATTAAGTCTAAATTCTGAGCCTATTCCTCTCGGTACCCCCAAACAATCTATGCCAAATGACCTAAAGATCCAGTGAAAGATTCTTCTAAATGATAATAAACCCCAGAATTCTTTTTGACCTAATGTAAAATTTATCCACATTACTCAAAATTTTTCTAGTCCTTAACAATCATGAACCAACTGACCAACACTAGTAGAACCAATTGACCAACACATACATGAACAGCGGGCTCTATTCCTTACCTTTGTGTGCAGAAGGAGTGAGGCTGTGCTAAAAATGGTTTTGCAAGATGCATCCTGCAAGGACTGAGCTCTGCAGACTGTTGCAGTGCTACAGGTAAGAGAGTTTTAAATCATAAATCACTGGACAACAAATAATTACGGAACACTTACGATTCTCAAGGTGCAATGCTAGCAGAGAATACAAAGGCAGTGTTTCATTTATAAGTAGACTGTATTGTGAAAGTTTTTCAATGAGACAGATGCTTGTGACATGAAACACATTTTCACAAACAAGCAAGCCAATAATGATAGTTAAAATTCTCAGGTTAGCAAATAAAGGCCTATTTAAGCCTAATGAAGCTAAAATATAAGTTAATTTACAGGGAATATAACAGAAAAAAATATTTTACAAGATTAGCAAGGAAGAAAAGAGGAAATCAATATAATAAATAGCTTCTATTGATTTAAATAAATGTGCTTAATGGAAAGTGAGTTAAACATTTACAGAATCCAGACATACCCATATCTCCACTGATTTCTCAAAACAAAGCTATGAAATTTCTATTATTATTCTAATTTTCATCTTGAGGAAGTTTACGCCCGAGGAAGATAGTAGCTAGTCCACTCAGCTCCTTCCAGACCCTTCAGAAATGTATCAAAGCTGTGTTCTTCCACCTTCCCCATGTGAGAAACCAGTGTGTGCAGACTGTGAGAGACTCCCGCACCCCGACACACTCACACGTCCAGGAAATAGAGAGAAAGGATAGGAACGATATTGTGTTTGCTTCTGCAGAGAGCCCCAGGCGTACCAATACTGGGGTGGCCTGGGGTCCGATAGTACTATCAATTTCACATCTTCAGAGCCTTTATGTGACCATGAGGTACTATTAAATTTTAATGCCAACCCTTTTGAGGGACAGGTCCTGGAAGACTTTTTCTTTCCACCAACAGTATAGGTAAGGCATAAGTCTCCAAGTGCCATTCTGTGTCAGTGGGTAAATTCTGTCCTAATTCAGCCTTTCGCTGAAGTTAAAAGGGACTCGTCTTTCGTCCTTTAAACCTCAGTCCTGTCTCTGCCAGAGCTATGGAGTACCACCAAGGAGGTCTCTCTTCTTCTACCCCTAAGGAATCCCCTTAGAGACCTGACTGCGTTCTCAGATGGGCTATGTTCTCTGAAGTGCGTTTCTCATAACATATTTACTTCTGTGTTTGGTTTTGGAGGACTTTGAGGTTATCTTAGCCTGCCATATTACTAGACTCCACAAATGTTTTCGGGGGGGGGGGGGTTAAAACTCTGTTTTAGAAAATTTTAACTTTAACTAATAAAACAATAGCTCGCCTTTTCAGACATTAAATAGTTTAACCTAACTGAACAGGAAAGTATGCCTTCTCCATTTACTGATTTCATTTCAGTCACCTAAACTATGAAAGCAATATATGCTCACTAAAATATCACAACACAGGGGTATAAAAATTAAGCCTTTCCTTCCCCTTGGATCAAATAGAACACTGTTAACAGTCTAGTATATGTCCTTCCATACTTCTCTTATATAAATAGATCTCAACATACAAAAAGTATAATCAAATAATAAATATTATTTTGTAACCTGACCTGAATAGCATACTATATTCAGTGAACATCCCTTTTCCTACTTCAGTTTGAAAGGAAGACGCCCATTAACCCGTCAGACAAATGAGAGCTGGATTTCACAGCGCGACCCAATGCGCAGCGGCCCCAGCGCGTCGGAGGGTGACACTGCACGTCCCCTGCATGAGACACACTGATCGTCACCATGTTTTCCCCGGTACAACACAAACTGTTATCTACTACATATTCTATCATTTAAATAAGACATTTTACAATTATCATTAGATTATACATTTCTCCAAGAATTTTCAAATGAAATCTCTCAGTGTAATTCTCTTACTTTTGTAGACTTTGCCTTATTCCATAAGACATCCATTTGCCAAATGGTATGTCTATATTAAATTTTCATCTGCTTGCTTTGATGAGGCCTGGCACATGGAGCAAGCTCAGAATATTTGTTGAATGCAGGGATAAAATAGCAAAATAGAAATACTGTTTGAAAGAAACTATGTTATTATAATGTCTCAGGCACAGACAGAAGGTTTTATATATTTCCTAGTTATGTTCATAATTTGCCCAACGAAAAAATAATCATCAAAGAATTACACTGTTGCCCTGACTGATGTGGCTCGGTTGGTTGGGCATCATCCAACAAGGCGAAAGCTCCTTGATTTGATTCTGAGTCAGGGCACACGCCTGGGTTGCAGGTATGGTCCCCAGTTGGGGTACATACAAGAGGCAGTCAATTGACGTTTTTTTCTAGCACTGATTGATATTTCTCTCCCTCTCTCTCCCCCTCCCTTCCCGTTTCTCTAAAAACAAATAAATAAAGCGGTACCTCAGTACTCATCGTTAATTCAGTCCAGAACTCGTGACGAGTACCAAACGATGAAGCATTTTCTCCTGCAGGGCACATCATGACTCATACAAGTTCTAACAGGTGTGGCAAGTCCTGAGCAAGCACAGAGTGCTGAAACATTTTTTTCTCGTCAAAATGTGATGTGTACAGGGTTTGACGAGTTCTGAAGCCAATGTGTGCCAAGGTATGACTGTAAAATCTTTTTTTAGAGATTTTATTTATTTTTACAGAGAGGGAAAGGTAGAGAGAAAAAAAGGGAGAGAAACACTGACGTGTGAGTGAAACATCAATCGTCTGCCTCTCATATGCCTCCAACCAGGGACCTGGCCCACAACCCAGGCATGTGTCCTGACCAGGAATCGAACCGGCGACCTCTCATTAGCAGGCGGGCATTCAGCCTACTGAGCCACACCAGCCAGGGCTAAAAACTTTTTTTTTTTTTTTTTTAAAGAATTACACTGTTTACACAGTAGCCATCTTTCTTTAAGAAATAAATTGGTTGATTCTTTTCAGATTATAAAATATCTCGTTCATTATAGAATACATGAAAGAAAATAAAAGAAGGAAAATGAAAATAGACGGCCATGTTATCCAGCCAAACTGCTTTATAACAGAGGTTTTACTGCAACATAATTTGAGACAGCACTCTTTAATAGCTAAATCATAAATTAAAACACCATTAATCTCATATGTTGGAAAGGTTCACTTAAGCCAACATATATATTTCAGATGTAGTTTGTATCTTTGCTTCATTAAAGAGCAATTTCCAAGAAAAGAGTGACTTTGACCTGACTACAGATAAAATGCCACACACTCAGACAGTGGTACTTCTTCCACCTGTTCCCACTTCCCAACCCTCTAGAGCACAGTAAGACAGAAAGCTGAACTTACTAAAAGAGAGCTGTAAAACTCTGAAATATCCTGTGATTCAATACAGAGTATATTCAACTTCATAAATATTAGCTGAAAAGTGGAGCTTTCAGAGATGGGGTGAATTTCCTGGTCACTTTCTCTCATCTGGTGGATTCTTAGTTGCCCGAGAAAGCCATATGCCTCCTGCCACTCCACAGCTTTAACTACCATCTCATGCTGATGACTCCCAAATCATTATTGCCAACTGTCTTATTGCTGACCTCCACACTTACATAGCCATTGCCTGTTTGAGCCTATATCTGGATATTTAAAAAATACCTCAAATTTAATGAGGCCAACATAGAATGTGTGAAATTACTTCCTAGACTTAACTTCCCTCCCGCGCTGATCTTGCCATCTCAGTAAACTGTTCCACATCCAACAACTGTTTAAGCCAAGTATCTGGTGCCATTCTTGATTCCCTTTGTTCTGTCACTCCCTGCATATCATCTAGCAATAAGTTCTGTTGGCTCTATTTCCAAAACTTATCCCAAATGCAGCACTCTTCTCCAACCATATTACCAATGACCTTCCCCAAACCGTCACCTCTCTTGCTTGGATTAAGCAATGGCTTTGTAACTGGTCTGCCTACTTCTACTATCACCCTCCATAGTCTACTCATGCCAGCAGCAAGGTGATGTTTTAAAATCATACATCAGACCACATCACTCTCCAGCTTAAAACCTTTAGAAGTATACTTGGTATACAGAAAAGCTTACCATGGAAGTCAGTATAAAATCCAATTCTCTTATCCTTGCTTGGAAGGCCTAACAAAAGCTGGCACCAGCCCACCTCTCTGTTACATCTTCTCTCACTGCCAACTCTGTGCACTATCTGTGCCATCTGCCAGAATGCTCTGACCTCGAGCCTTTGCATATTATCTTCTTAGTATTTCGGTATCAGTGCTGAGAAAGTTATCTTCTCAGAAAAGCCTTCTAGCTTATGAAATTCAGAAGAGCCAAACATAATATCTAGCAAAACAATACATGAACTTACCCTTGATACATCAATCAACTTACAGGAATCCATCCCAAAGAAACACTGGCAAAAACACGACACAGACAACCAGACATTATGAGCCTTTTGCTGGTAATATACAATACCACCATGGAATAATCTTGAAATGCAAACACGCACACACACAAATAAATCTGATTAATCTTCTCTTGATTTAAGTACCAATCCACAGGGAATATAGAAAGCAGAGCAAAACGCAATCAGCAGAATCTGAAATATAAATATGAGGAACTAGCCAGGATAAATAATCATTTTCTTCAACAAAATAAATTACAAGGAGGCAGAAACATGAAAGAGGAATTAGATTTTTAAAAAATTTAAGAGAAAAATAATCTAATTACAATGAATGGCTCTTATTTAGATCCAGATTCAAAAATACTATTGAAATAGCTGGGACAGTTTGAAACCTTGTATGTTCCAATACTTAAAAATTACTGTTCAAATTGTTTAGTTATGAGAATAGAATTCTAAATAAGTGTTTTAAAATGAGTATATATCTTTAATTGTATATCTCTAATAGTTATATATTTAAACAGTTATGGATCAATGATATAATTTAGGGGTTTGCTTCAAAATAATACATTTTGGGGTTTTACTTCAAAATAGTAAAAGCAAGAAAATAGGTAGAGCTATAGCTGAAACATGAGTTGGTAATTTCTGAAGCTAGGTGATGGATGAATGGGGTCCATTAGGCAGTATCTCCATTTCTTATATATTTGAAGTTTTCCATAATAAAAATTTATTTAAAAACCAATTACTCACTATAACATTTTTACTTCTTAGCATATTAATATTACTACAGTTAATGCTTAAATAGCAAAGGTCCACTTACAGGTAATTTTTTTTCAACAAATACTGTAAGTGATTTTCTCATAATAAAATTTTCTTTCCTTCAGCTTCCTTTATTGTAAGAGTACAGTATATGATACATATAACACTCAAAACATATGTTAATTAACTGATTATGTTATTGGGAAGGCCCTGGTCATAGTAGGCTATTAGCAGTTAAGCTTTTGGGGAATCAAAAGTTATACACAAAATTTCAAGTGTGCTCTTAACTCCCCATCATTCAAGAGTCAACTGTACATAGTTTTTGATCATTCAGTTTGTGTTGACTGTCCACCTCTCACTGAAATATCATTAGCTTTGTAAGAACAAATGCTTGGCCTTTACCGCTACTATTCCCAATGACTACCAGAGTCCCAGATTCTTGATTAATATTTCTGAATGAATAAATAAAACATCTGGAATCTCCTGTAGAAGTTTAAAGATTTTTTAACTCTAGGATGGTCAACAAAGCATCACAGGGAAGTAAGTGCACAGCAGTGGCCAGCAGGGACTTACCTTCACTTCGATGAAGTCAGGACTCCCTAGAGACACCAGCTCGGCATAGGCTTGGAGCTCATCCACATTCCAGGCTTTAACGAGAGTCAGCCTGTAGACAGTACGCTGTTGCTAAAACAAAGGAAAAGTCAACGTTGTTTTCATCTTGGTAGAAGTTACACCCAGGAAGACTTTCACATTTCTTCAACCCACAGAGAACCCAGGTAATGTGAAAGACAGCATGAACCTCTACAAATTCAAGTTATATTTTGTAGAAATATGAAAGAACTGTAAACAAAGTAATAAGAATCTCATAAGCCTTTTAAAAACAAAGAAAATGGCATATTTCTTTTCTTTCACTCACAATAACTAACACTCTTAGGTATCCAAAAGTTCCTTGCCAAATACACATTGAGTAAGATTTAGTAAAAAATGGTTAAGTTGACCAAATAGTTTTAGACTGTCAAAAATTAATTCAAATTGCCCTGGCTGGTGTGGTTCAGTGGCTTAAGTGCCAGACTGGCAACCAAAGGGTCGCTGGCTCAATTCCCAGTCTAGGGCTCATGCCTGGGTTGCAGGCTAGGCCCCCCGCTGGGGGAGCTCGAGAGGCAAGCACACATTGATCTCCCTCTCTCCTCCCTCCCTTCCCCTCTCTGAAAATAAATAAAATTTAAAAAAATTACTTTAAATAACCTTCAGGCTTTCAGTTACTAATCACTCATATTTCTGATAAGAATTTATAATTATTCTTGACTTCTTTCCTATGTTCTCATTATTTAATGATCTCTTGTTGGCGAAACAGGCACATTCCTGAACTGCCAGTGTTGCCATTTGGTACCACAAAACCCAGAGAGGTGCTGGTTTTCTGAAAAGCAATTAGACAACAGTCATCAAAGTCTTTTAAAAGTTTATAGCCCTTGACTATGTAGCTCCTTTCCAGAACTCAAGACAAATTAAAAGTTCAGAGACTTACCATATTTTGCCATGTATAATGCACAGCCACATTTTTGGCCCAAACTTTCAGGAAAAAATCTTTCGTTTTAATTTTTTAATTCAATTTTTATTTATATTTACAAACAAAACTGATTATCATATTCCAGGGTATTATTTTGCATACAGATATTGTAACTGCTTTCTAGAGTTACACTTTTGACACTTTTAAGCATAAATAAAAGAATTAAAAACATTTATATATATATATATGGAATTGGTACTACCCATGTATAATGTGCATCCTTATTTTACTCTCAAAAATTTGGGTGAAAAAAATGTGTATCATACAGGACAGAATACAGTTTTTAAACATCTCAGAACAACATTACTAAAGATAGTTTAAAATCTAAAGCAACGGTGGGGCCAGAACATGTGATTTGCCTATAACCAATGGAACATGGCAAAGGTGATGAGATGCACGTAGTTATGTGTCCATGATTACATCCATTCATCTGCAGCAAAGCACCCGGCAACACCCCTGCTGCTAAACCTCAAACCATGTTTTAAGTAGCAAGGCTCAAAACACCCTAGAGAAAAACAAAGTAAGGTAAGAGAGGGACAAAGTGATACCGACTCCCTACTTTTGTTTATGTTTGAAGATTTCCATAATTAGTAAAAAACAAACAAACAAACTTGACACTGTTAATGAAAAAAAAAACACAAGAGATATTTAATGAATAGTATTAAGCAGGCATACCAGAAAATGTACTCAAAACTTATTTTTAGTCATATACATGCGTGACAAAACAGAAACCATCCAGATTCCCTTACGTAGCTAGAAATCACCCAATGCCAAAACCTGACAAAAACAGCAGAGAACTACAGACCAATCTCACTTGTACTTATATATACCAAAATCTCATAGAAATTTTAGCAAATAAAATTCAACATGTTAAAAATTCTAGGAATACAAAGATGATTCAGTATTAGGCTATATATTAATACAACTCACTACATTAATAGTTCAACACAGAAAAGCCATGTGACCATCTGCATAGATACACAAAGACATTTGATACAGTTTAAAAGCCATCCCTAATTTATGTTAGGGATGTTTTTTAATTTTGAAAACAAAACAGAATAAATATATCAAAATCCATTTGGTAAACTCAATAATTAAAAAGCACATCCTTAACATAAAGAAAATACTCTCCAGTCAAAGGTCAATGTTTCTTAGTGGTTTGAAAAATAGAGGCATTTCCATTTAGATTAAAAGAACAATGTCCACGCTATTACTTTTATAAACACTTCTCTGAAAGTTAAAATCAAAACAAGAACAAGAATTACTGAATAGTATACAAAAAATAATTACTTGTAAGTGATATAGCTGGCTTTCTGGAAACCTAGGAAAATTAACTAAAAATTAGAGTAAAGAGCTCTGGCTGGTGTGGCTCAGTGGACTGAGTGCTGGCCTGGGAACCAGAGGGTCACTGGTTCAATTTCCAGTCAGGGCACGTGTTACAGGCCAGGTCCCCAGTAGGGGGCATGAAAGCAACTACACATTGATGTTTCTCTCCCTCTCTCCCTCACTTCCCCCCTCTAAATATAAATAAAATCTTTAAAAACTAAAAATAGATAAATAAAAATTAGATTAAGCAAAAGTAGCCAGTTACCAAATTAAAAAAAAAAAAAAAAAAAAACAGCAGCTTTTCTGGCATACAGTAGTGGGGCAAATGTGGACTCTGGGGCCAAGATGAGCCCCCGACCATGAGCTGGCTATCTTTAATCCCTGTTCTCAGTTCCTACCTTTGGAAAATGAGGGTTTTACACAGGATTCAAAGTCTTAATCCATGTAGCACTTAGAACCACGCCTGGCAGCAGTTAGTCCTACCGAGTGTCAGATTCTATATGCCATTATAGGCAACATACATACTACATGTACAATTAAAAAATACAAAGCAAATTCTACATACAACTGTAAAATATATGTATAAATACCTATAAAAAGATTAATTTATGAAGTAATATGGACAGTGAATAAAATAAATTTTTCTGAGACCCTAAGAAAAACGCACCTACATGGAAAGCCACAATGGATTTATAAATATAATGTAATTCCAAGAGAACCTTAAAATTCCTTTGATCAAATAAACTGGCAAGGACATCAACAATAATAACAACAGCAGGAGTTAGCAATGAGTCAGACTTACTATGTGCCAGCTGTTGTTTTCAGTGCTTAATATCTTAGCAAAAATTCCAATAGTTATCTCATCTTCACAATAATTCTTACAAAACATGTTTATTATGTTGAAATTATATATATGAACTTCAGGCTTAGAGCTGTTAAATATATTTCCCAATTTACCCAGCTGGAAAGCAACAAAGCTGAGATATGAAACATCAAGTGATATGAATCCAGGGCAGACTCTCTTAGTTTGATAAACATCTTACATAGTGAAATAAAACATACAAAGAGAAATGTACTTAAAACACGAATGTACAGCTCAAAATATTACCACAAAGAAAATGCCCATGGCTCAGTCACTATGTACTCCATTTGCAACTAATATACCGGGGGGAGAACAAAAAACATCAGCATTTATTTATAAAAAATTGTGTATTTATTCTTACATTTAAACTTCAGTCACTTTCAAAGTACCCTCCTGGGCTACCCTCCATTTCATGCAATACACCTAACAAGACATTTTTTCTACTGCTCAAAACAATTTTTGAACTCTTGGATTTTGATGCCTTTTAGTGCTTCTGCTGTTTTTTGTTTCAGCTCTTCCACATCGGCAAAATGGTCCACTTTCAGGACTTTTTTCATCCAGGGCAATAACAACAAAAAATGACACTCGGGGAGAGATTGGGTGAATAGGCAGGGTGGGTCACGGGGATCATCCTGTTTTGGGTCAGAAACTGCTGAACACTCAATAAAGTGTGGGCAGGTGTGCTCGTAAATCACCCATCATAAAATGCGCGCAGGCATTGAAAGAGTCTTCAAACAAACTTCACTGAGGCTGAATGCAGCCTCTCATAACGAGCCAGCTGGTACCCTGATACAGATGAGTTCCTAGAACACTCACCTAGTGGGGGAAAACTACTACAAGGGACAGCCACCCAAAGGATAATTCCGATTTGAGGGGAGGTCCCTCCTTATATTAATACCCTGATTTTAACATTATAGTTCAGATTTTTATCTATGTTTGAAATTTATATAAATGAAACTATACATTCTTTTACATCTCCTGTTATTCAATGTTGTATAGTCTTGATGTATACATATGGCCCATATATGCAGCATAGAATATATGCAGCATAGAATATATACACATTCAACTTTAGCAGATATTGGAAAATAAAGGAAGAAGTAAAGGCTATACAAAGTGAAATAAGGAGACATATACAGGGAACCAACAATGAAGGGAAGTAAACCAGAACTCAAAGCAATCATTTGGAACAAAAGGAAGAAATAAACATTCAACTGGAACAGAATGAAAAAAAAAAGAAATCAAAAACATGAGGAGAGGCTTAGGAACCTCTAGGACTTTACACATTCCAGCATCTCAATCATAGGTGTGCCAGAAGAAAAAAGGAAGAGCAAGAAATTAAAAAGTTATTTGAACAAATGATAAAGGAAAACTTTCCCAATCTGGCAAAGGAAATAGACTTCCAAGAAGTCCAGGAAGCCCAGAGAGTCCCAAAAACGTTGAACCCAAGGAAGTTACCCAAGATTAAAGAGAAGGAGAGAGCCTTAAAAACAACAAGAGGAAAGGAGACAGTAACCTACAAAGGAGTTTCCATAAGACTATCAGCTCATTTCTCAAAAGAAACCTTATAGGCAAGAAGGAGCTAGAAAGAAGTATTCAAAGTCATGAAAGCCAAGGATCTACATCCAAGATTACTCTATCCAGCAAAGCTATCATTTAGAATGGAAGGGCAGATAAAGTGCTTCCCAGATAAGGTCAAGTTAAAGGAGTTCATTGTCACCAAGCCCTTATAGTAAATGTCAAAGGAACTCATCTAAGAAAAGGAAGAAGGTCAAAACTGTGAACAGTAAAATGACAACAAACTCACAACTATCAACAACTGAAACTAAAAAACAAAAACAAACTAAGCAAACAACTAGAACAGAACAGAATCACAGAAATGGAGATCACATGGTGGGTTATCAGTGGGGACAGGGAGGAAAAAAAATG